ATTTTGTTAAAATATGTCATTTTAGTTTTTTATTTATTTTGTTTCAATATAAATGTCATTCTATATTTCCAATACACATTTTTACATTAGACCTCTTTTTATCTTTTTAAATAACTAATAGATATTTAATTAAATCATTTTATTTAAATAATTCTAGAATAAATAAGAATATATTAATATATATTCTTTTAATATGTGTGAAATATGTATAAGTGATATTTATTATGAAACAAATAGAGTATTTGTTATTTAAAAGGATGAAAAAATAAATTTAATATGTAAAATTGCATTAAAAATGTAGAATGACATATATTGTGAAACATGAGGAATATTAGATAAGTGATGTATATGCTTTGTATAATCCCTTTCAGTATGTGCGCTTCAACCATTGATTTCTTAGTAGTTTGCAAGGAAAATTGAAACAACTATAGATCAATGTGGTAAATTGTTTTATAATATTAGGTAAATTGTTTGACACAATAGTAGTAGTAAACATTTAGAACATCTCTAACCCCACTCTATAATTTACTGCAAAATAGAATGGGAAATGCAGTGATGAAGAAAAAAAAAAGTGATTACTCCAAATATGGAATAATGAGATTTTTGTTTCTTCATCACTCCATTCTCCACTCTATTTTATAGTAAAATATAAAGTGGGGTTGGAGATGCTCTTATTGAAACACATAAGACTTTAGTTCTTCAGATCAATAAATATTGGGATAAAAGGTTGGTGAAAGTTGATTTAGTGGATTAGTAATTACAAGTCGTCCGCACAAATCATAATTATGTTTTGGCTAGTTTATTCCCTTCCTTTCAACCTTTTCCATTATGCATGCGTAGACACTCTCTCATGCATACCCTCATCATTAACGCCATTTACTAGAATTATCAGGTGTGTTAATTTAAATCCATGAACCAAAAATTTGATTACATTTTTGTATACTACTTTATTATATACTTATATTATTAATTTATTACGACCTCACCTATATAGGTCATAAGTTGCCTTGCTCAAAAGTCCAGTTGATGAAAACACCCAATATTTCTATGATATAAATAAACGTAGCTACAAGAAAACCAGAAATATATCCAAATTTTTTACTCAATTGGTATGTTTCATTAAAAATGAATATTTACTCCCAAAGTTATATTCGTATGGTTAATTAGCATGAATATATGTGGTTAATCATATTCTTAAAAGACGAAATAAGGTGAATTTCCCTTTTCAATGGGAAGATATACGTGAGAATCCATGATTGAAAATCTTTTAGGGCAGCATTTCACGTGATGGTGAAGGTCTTCAATGCATAGTATTTTATTGACATCTTAAGCCTAAAATTCCTTAAAAATAAAAATTTGAGTGTAGAAATAAACAAGGGAAAACTAAGAAGATAAAGAATGAAAAGACAGTGTTGGGTTGGGTCGAACGTCAAGTGATAAGATGTCACAAAAGATAGGCTTTTTGTTATATAATTCAAAACATAAATCATGAAGTCCCATGACTATATAATATTCACATCACTTACTTTTGGGTATCCTTCACTCTGCATTTATTTCTTAAGATTTAATTTGCTTATTAGATTATGATCCGCGCAAATGAGTGGATTTTATTTTTTCCGATAAACTCTAATAATTTAATTATATATAGTTTTGAATTTGTCCAATTCAATTTTATATTTAAAGGATAATATCAAAATGACATTTTGTATTAATAAAGTCAAACAATATATTATATAGATATAATCGTGCAGTAAAAACACTAATTCAGTAAATTTGTAAGAAGTGAAAAATCAAATTCAAAATTAAATCTTTGCAGTAACAAAATAAGTTGAAAGTTTAATTACTTTTAATGTTAATAATTATCGAAAAGTTTTAAATAATAATTACTCTTTGGATATTTAAAATATTTTTCATTTAAATTCAACATGGACCGCGGTTAAACCGGTGATCCTAATTCAATTTTAATTTTTTAAAATATCCATATTTAAAAAATCTCTTAAACCGAGACTAACCAATTAACTGATATTTAATATTTAAACCTGTAAAAATAAGTTTGTTGTCATTGTTTTATATATTATTTGATTTTTTTTTAATTTATCTAAATAATTTGAAAGAAATATTGAAAATATTTAAATGGTGAGATCTAATATTTTGTATTGTTTGGATATAAGATTAATGATAGTGTTGTTTGAAAACATGGATAATAATATAAAGAAATAAATATATTGGTTGATAACATAGATAGTAGAACAAAAAATAAATATATTGTTTAAAACATGGATTGTAATTAGCGATTTAATGTATGTTTAACTATAAAATAGAAATATGTATTTAATTTAAAATCTTACAAAATAAATGTTAGGTACAACCTAATGTTTATGTTTTAATAAGATATATGATAGTGTTGTATGAAAATATTGATAGTAGTACAAAGAAAACAATATTAGTGATTTAGTGTATGTTTAACTATAAAGTAGAAATATATATTTAATTTAAAATCTTACAAACTAAATGTTAGATCCAACCTAATATTTATGTTTAAGAAGATACATATGTCAGTTTTAGACATGTTTTTCTTTGACATAAAATTCTTGAAATTTTATTCAGTAGTTAAGTGAACACTTATATCAAAACGTCCAACCAAATTCAAAAGGTTCAGTCATGACCGGCCTATATGACGCATACAGCTAAAAAATGTCTAACTTGTAACCAGAGTATGCCTGATTCCTCCTTACTTAGGCTTTGGCTTATTCAACGAAATATGCCTGATCGAAGTCCGGTTATGAGTTATGACTGTGCGTCTTGGGTTAAAGATGAGCATGTTCAAAGATGGTAGGCAGAGCAATTGACATAACTTCCACTTACAAATAAATACTATTTACTGAAATGGGATTGTTAACATTCTCATTAGTTCGTACTTAATGGATTATAGTCACCCATCATATTTCCTGTACTTGTTTCTAAGAAGAACCACTCATACTATTATTATTTATATCCGAACTACTCAAAATGTTGCAAAGCCTATGCGGAGAATTGGCATTGATATGTAATGTAGAAAATTTATGGTAAAATCTAATCTATAGCAATTTTTTGATATATTTGTATCTAATGCAACTGTAGAAAATAAATGAAGAAAGAAGAAATATATTCTTACACGACACTTTTTCTTAAAATTTAAGGATTAATTTTCAAAACTAAATAAAATATGATTGGTAGTTTTATGGTGGTAGATAGACACTAAAACTAAAAACACTTGTTACAACCCAACCAATCCCTCCACATATTTGTTGATCTCCTTTCTATGTAACTTAAATAAAAAAGAGTAGAATTAGAACTTACACTAAACACGAAAAAGTAAAGGATATATTGACATGTCTCTTTCTTAGTTCGAAACCTTAAGCAACTTAGATATCTTCAATGTCGATAAACCTATAGAGTCTGATCATGATATATTCTCTAACCTCCTAACATTTTATCAATCAAAATGAATATTTACAAGATATTCACAATATACTCTTTGAGATCAAGGGACTATGAAGGAAGATAAATATTTCTTCTGAAACCACTTCACGGATGTCAGAAAAGGAATATCTAGAGAGTTAATCTATAGACGACTCACCACCAACAAGAGACTTCCTGAATTATGGAGTAGATATATTCTCCACAAGGTTTATTCCATTCCCAGTTCATTATGAAAGATGCAAAAACACCTCCAAAAGTAGCCAATTGTTTGAAAACATTATGGGCTTCAAAGGCCCAAATATGTTGCTCATTAGTCAATGGGCTAATATCAATCATAATACAGAGCTTTCAAGGCCCAGTAATTAACTGGTGTACGAGTATAATACGTCGTTGTAGAGAGATATGACTCCATCGCCTCTAGTTCTATGTGGGGGACATGAACAGTAGTAAAGACGAAAGAGAGAAGAAACTATCCAGACCTATCACCTATGCGTTGCTGAACTCAAACTGGATATGAAGTCATTGTCTATAAGAAGATCAGTGCAGCTTCTAAAGAAACGAGCCATGAAGAGAAAGTTACTGTGAAAGAGAACACTAAGGCAAATGATGAAACCTCTGAAGAAAAGAGTATGGAAGAAGGGATAAGAGTTGAAGAAAACGCAAAATAAGTGATGCCGCTTTTGCCTACTGCGGAACACTGGATTCACAGGTGGAAGCATCCAGCCTAAACCGCAGGTCCCAACCGGACTAGTGAGCCAGTTGAGTGACTTGATAAGCCTCATTTATTTTAGACGTCGACATTGTTTCTAACTTTCTGTGACATTGAGTTAGGTTTTTCATATGACTAGCTACGGTAAAAATACTCGAGTCATGTGTTGTTTAGTAACGTTTTGACTTTCAGATAATGGAAGTACTCTATACTACAGGTTTCTGTGACCATTGTGTACTACACTTTATCGCCATTTGTACTTGCATAAAAGACCCACATATACATAAACCAGACCAGCACCAACATTAGAGAAAAAACCGAGACTGTGACTATATGACAACCTGATCTTTGAAAGCCTTGTCAAAAAAAAAAAAAAAGACAACCTGATCTGCATCCTTACGAACAAGATGAATCAGGTAAGAAAATGTGATTCCCCTCCCCTGTATATCTTTATTTATATATATGTATAAATGCAGTTACACACCTACATACATATTTCATCTTCATGAATGATCATATAGTATTTTTATAAAATTTGGGATATGAATTTTGAGTTAAAAGGGGCTGGAAAATCCAAAAGCTAAATTACGCTTAATTTTCACTAATTTCGGTAAGAAGCAACTTCCAGAGGTATATCTCAGTTAAGAGTCAACTTCTAAACAATTGTTTTAGATAAATTTGATTTATTTTTGTAAAAAAAATAATATCATTACTTTTGACAAAATTAAATACTCAAATGGCTCAAAATTAAATACTCAAATACACAAAAAATGTGACAAACAAATCTTTACTTACAATGCCACGTTATAACATAGTATCTAAACTAACCAATGGCAATGCGTCTCTAAAGATAACTCTATCTATGTGAGTGTATACTTTCTTGGAGTTTGCTCTAAGAGCCATTCATTGCTCTATCTCTTCACCTCATAAAACTCATACGTCCAACGATTTAACCAAAGGATAACCCACACACACAAAACAAACCTTTCACTTAGACAAACCATAACTTCGTCATGGCTTCAGTAACCTCAGCCACCGTCGCAATCCCATCTTTCACCGGTCTCAAAACCACATCCTCGAGACCCTCAGCTGTCGTCAGAATCCCCACCGTGGCGGCAACATCACCGAAGCTCACCGTGAAGTCATCGTTAAAGGACTTTGGAGTAGCTGTTGTAGCGGCTGCAGCTTCCATTGCTTTGGCTGGAAACGCCATGGCAATAGATGTTCTCTTGGGATCAGGAGATGGAGCGTTGGCCTTTGTTCCCAACGACTTCACTATAGCGAAAGGTGAGAAGATTGTGTTCAAGAACAATGCTGGTTTCCCACACAACGTTGTGTTCGATGAGGACGAGATCCCAAGTGGTGTTGACGCTAGCAAGATCTCGATGGACGAGCAAGATTTACTCAATGGTCCGGGAGAGACGTACGAGGTTGCTTTAACTGAGCCTGGGACTTACAGCTTTTATTGTGCGCCTCATCAGGGTGCTGGTATGGTCGGTAAAGTCACTGTTAACTAGTAAAATGCGAGTGTAGTGAAACAGTTTTATTACATAAAGTGTTTTGTAGTTCTAAAGAGTGATGAATCGAATGGACCGTGATATGTTAAAATGTGACTGGGTCCATCATGATCATGAATGGTATTTCTTGGTTATAGATTATATGTTGATTTATAATATCTCGCCCTAATTTTGTTTTTAAGAATATGATAAAAAAATAAGTAGGAAATGTTAGGATAAATGTCTTTTATGAATCTAATTAACGTTCTGAAGTTTTTGGTGCTTAGCCCTATACTCAAGACCAATTAGTAATAGTATGATCGATCATTATGCCTCAACCATGATTTGAGTTCAGAGTAGATAATGTAAAAATCCATAACATATATGAATCTAAATTTACAAAAGGGTAAACTGTACGTACAAATTGAGTTATAAAGACGAACTGCAACATGTAATAATCCAGTTATATAACAAATATTAACCTAATTTCATCATGTATATGCACTCTGTTAGAACATGTATAAACTCAGCCATAATGCACAAGCACGCAGTAAACTAACCCATCTGCGCTATGTGCAAAACTAGTTAGAATAATAATATCATTTACACTTTTAGGTATTATTCATTTTAGAACATTCATAAAGCAAATCAAGTATTATATAGTATATACAACTCCAATTACAACATGTAAAATCTCAGCTATCGTCTTGTCTCAACATGCAAAAATATTCTTAGAATATTCAGATCAGTTGAGATTCTTATTTGATTAAACGTTAATGATCCAAAAGTTAACTTTATTAACACCGTATCAGTTCATTTGAACCAATAGATGGACCAATTAACGGCACTGATAGTATAAGCTGAGTGTCAGCTTGTCACCCTTTCCACTTTTAAAGCTCTAAATTAGCAGATTAAATTCATGATCACCCATTTACTTGCTTACTTCATAACACAAACATTTAAGTCGAATTATTTTGTTTTTCTTTTGATGTATTTACAAAATTTAGAACTAGTTCGTAGAAATGAAATTCCGACACAAAACACAAAAAAACAAGTAGGTACGAAGACAAGTTAATAAGTAGCTTTGACTTGAAGTGGTTTTGGTCGATCCATGGTTCTTCTCTTCCACAGATTAACTTCACTCTTCTGTCTCGAGCACAGAGTGAGAGGCGTGCTTGGAAGCATAGTCTCTTTGTCATCGGAAGAGTAACCTCTGCGATGATCCGACCGTGTTTCTTCACGTTTCATCTCCACCGTCCAATCAAATCCACCGAGAGCTTCTCTGCTGCTCGCGAATTTCTTCATTTTCCCCAATGAAGGCGCAGCAACCACTTCCACCGCCGTCATTGGATGTTCGCTCACAGCGGAAACCGTCGTATAGTTTGATTTTCTGGTCCTGCCCATTGAGAAGAGACGTTATAGTTTCGACCAGTTTCCTCTACCTGCTTCTTTAACAAGACAAGACGACGTCGGTTTTAGAGGCTTATATTCTCTGCTCTTCTTCTCCAGACATTTCGTTGACTTAGCGAGTTTGATCTGACCGATGCAGGAGACTTTAGGCGAAGTTGGTTCGGTCAAAACGACGGAGGCGTTCTTGGTTCTTCTCCTAGCTCTAACCGCCGCTGGAAGCAACGGTGTTATTGGACTAGAGAAGAAAAAACCTCTGTTCACCGTCGACGCCGTTCGGTGGTGGTGGTGGAAATCTCTCACCGGACTATACGGCGCCGCACTGTGACCAATTGATAACGCTTTTTGAAGCATTTTCGAGAGTTTTGTGGGGTTGTTGTTGTTGTTGGATGCTTTTTCCATTTAATTTACAAAAGTATACGAACACGGAGATCCCTTCGTTTTATTTTTATATGTACTTTCTGTTGTGTCTGAAACTTCTTAGAAAGTGAGAGTCAAAGGATGGTTATAGATGAACACATTTGAAAATGTCAAGATGATGAAATGGAGGAGGGGTTTAGAGTCAAAGCTGATGCTAAACCGGAGAAGATCTTCATGTTATGTGATACGGTTTTGACTTTAAAACCGGAGAAGATCTTTATGGTTTGTAGAGTTATACGGCCGACTCTGAACCGGTTTACAGCTTTCCTTATTGTTGAGGTTGTCTTCTTATTTCGACGCGGATTAGTTTAATGGTTTGTTTGACTTTTTGTGGGGTTAATCCCACATGTGTTTGTAATACATTATAGAAGTATATATGAGAACTAATAAGCCACGTGATTGTTATGCTTAATACTGTAGTTTAATGTGTGGATTTAGTTAAAGAAACTAATTAGTACATGAACAGCTCGTTAACCGATATATTATTATGTTGAAAGCGACGTGCAAAGTGAACACTTGTCCGTTTGTTTTTGGTCTAACTTACTATAAAATTCTCAAACAGTTGTTAATACAGAACAGTACATGTGTCTACCAATTTGTTACATTGTCATTGGACGGTGAGAACTACTTCCTAGGACTAGTTCCACTCATTCAGTCTTCTCGTATTTATACGTTACAATCCAGATAACAATATGCTGTTATTTATTTTACATCTTAGTTCATGGCAAACCACAAATTTATACAGACAGTTGTACTTCTGCATACACATTTCATTCCTTTTTGTGTGGAACTCAATCTACCTTTTGATCGCATAGCTTTTTGTAAGAGATCTGGTTGACTTGAGGATTTCTTTTGTAATAAAGGGTTTCGAAAACGTAAAACAAGTACAATAAAGCGGTAACAAAGAACAAAACTAACGATGTAATACGAGTATGCTTGAAGAGTTTTTTTTCTTGTTTGTCGCAAACAGCTTGTTAGGCTTGGTTTAGTCATGAGACTTAACATTGAGTTTGCTCCACTGTGTTTACACCATTTGATTTATAGACCTGAAATTTCCCAAGATTGATTCAAGAAAAGTTGCATTTTCTAAGAAAACGAACAACATATTGTCTCATATATAGATAAAGAAAAAAAAAAGACATCAGGGTATATTAATATCCAAAAAAATTGGGGATACAAATTAAATTAGCGAGAATTTAAACAATTTTTAAACAGTTTAGGATTATATATATAAAATAGTTTGTGTTATATTCCTCTAAAAAGTTTGGATGCCATAATCCAATATTTCATTCTAAAATTTTTTTTGGGAGTATATTTATATAATTTCTTTCAAAATTTTTGGAGACCTGAGACAAATGTTTCACTAGGCATGTCCCATGACCGGTCCTTGCGCATGACGCATCCATGATCTTTCATTCTATGAAAGTAATGTACAGCCTCTGAAACTAACCCAGCTCCAACGTAACGCCTAAACAAGATCATGAAAGTATCCATCGAAGTCTCTACGTTTCTCGATTTTCATGAGATCAATTAAATGCCAAGCTGCTAGGTCGAACTCTCTTACTTTTACCTGCAAGATCGATAATTTCATTGAAAGGATGGGGCGATTTCTTGTAGTAGACGTCTCGTGAAGTTTCCCAATTAAAGAAAGCTAGCGATAAGAGGAGAAGGATTCCGTGAAGAGAGAGTTTTGATCGTACTAACGCCATTAATGGGAGGTTTTGTGACCTTTCTTGTGTCTCTTTTAAAGCTCAGAACTTAGAGTGGCTATGGTGAACTAGCAAACGGTCAAACTTTACCTGAAACTAGCGTCGTTTATTGCTTCCTCTATAAACAATCCCTAGTTTTTTGTTTAATAGTCTTGGACCAGCATACTTAAATGTAACTTCTGATCAAATTATGTAATACTGAAAGTTTTTAGACTGATACAAATATTTAACATGAACTTTCAATTGAATTTATACTTTCAAACAAATTAATATATAGTTCCTGCAATTTGTAGCTGTCATTACCAGATTGTAAAACGAAAACATAATTTATTCGCTAATCGTGTAATAGACAACGATTACAAAAACGTACGGAACCATACCATTATAGCATACTAGTCAACTAAATTGTTCGATATAATAAACTTTAGTAGCGTCATTATCGTATTACTAGTCTTAGTCTTTTATTTCATGTAATCTGTAATTACTTGGCAATTGAAAAATAATTAATGCCAATACGTCTAGTCAGAATTCAAAATAAAATTAGTCATTTTATTAGAACATATCTGACTAAGGATATACACATTTGGCAAAAAAAGAGGCAAGGATATACTCAATACATTAGACAGTAGTCTACACGTATTATATGATGCCTGTCCACGTTTTATGATTATCGGATTCACTTGGATGATGGAGATTGCATTTTAGTCATTTAAGGTATATAAGCAGCTTGACCATACCAATGTCCCGAGTGGCAATTGTTAGGGGAAAATCTATTCTGGCATTAGAAAATAAACATATACGATAGTTTCAAACCTAGCTTATTGGTGATAAAAAAAGTAGTAATATGATCTCTCATGACAAATGATTTAGGAACACGACTAATTAAAACAAACGACACTTTCCAAAGTTTAAGATTCTCTCTAATCATCATAATCTGATCTATAGCTTTGGAAATTTCACATTAATTACATTCCAGAGATAAATACTAACAACACATGCTTATGCCATCCTTTCCATCTAAGTCCTAATCCAACATTTATTTTGTAACTGTATATGATTATAGATATAGATAAATACAGCCTTGTCATTTATACATATTTATTACTCTAAAACCACATTAAAAACAGAAAATCAATCACTGGGTTCTTATCAAATATTGCCGTCGGCGGCAACGCCGGCGAACGAGAGGGAGAGGGAGGAGCACGTCTCGTTAAAGAATCTGATTCCGTTACGTTATCCATCTGGGACCAAGACGCCTCCGTTTGAGCATAAGTCCAAGTCGTTACAACGGCGTTACGTCAAGGTTAGAGAGCCTCTCTTTGATCCAGTGACATCCAAGCGTATTTATTGGCGGGAAGAGACTTTTGATGTCAACGGCAAAGGTGACGATCAGGAACATGATCATGGATGTTTATACTTCTTGAAAATAAGCATTCGAAGGATGATTGATAAGTGGTTTGGTCCTCTTTTTGGATTACCCAGGAATGAAGATTTTCATTATTGAAAATACTTGTTTTCTTTTCAAGATTGAAACACAAACATGAGTGTGTTTCTTGTTTGGAACTGACATAAATTGCGAGAGTGCTTTCTAATGTGTTTTCTTATAGGAGTCTTTGTCTATATGTTAATTCGAATACGAAGTATGCACGTCTAAAGATTGTGGACAACATAAAGTTCACAAAACAAAAGCTTGTGGAGAACATTCTTTATTGTTAATAGTTTCAGTTTTGTTTTCCAGATTTACCAAATTATGAAATTATCAAATAAAAACTGTCATCTTTATATAAAGATGGATTGTTATGTATGTTGTTCATACAAATTATCAAAGAGACCGGACCATTCTTGATTTGGATTTGTACTCGTCCGAAGAAATAAGGTAATAAAAGACAAAAAATTATTGATATGATAATACTAAAACTATTATTATTTTGTTATGGCGTTGACTTATGTGTTGACTTTTTGTTCAGAATGTCCCTGAGGCAGGGCCGGCTTAGGGCATGGGGCAGAGGGGCATGGGCCCCAGGGCAACCTAATTTTTACAAAATTGATGTTAAATAGGGGCCCAAAATTTTTTTAAAAAAATTAGAATAAGGGTCCAAAATTTTGAAACTACCTATAAATACATGTAAAAAATTTTTTTTTGCCCAAGGGCCCATTAAAACACTGAGCCGGCCCTGCCCTGAGGTGCTCGGAGCTTTTATCTTTCCCAGTTCCGGTTAACCTCTTCAGTAGGGGGAGATGGTAAAGAGTCTTGACTCATTCTGTTCCATGTTTGGTGTGTCCTTTACAATCTTGAACGTGAAGCTTCACTTTGTTGATATGTTAAAGTGAGTAGCAACATTGTTCCTAGAGCAACATAATTAGAAATTTCAAAATGTCCAAAACTCTTAAACAAAGTCTCTAACTTGTACATTTTGATGATACAATCATTTATATGAAACAAATTTTCTCAAAAAAATTAAATTTCTTGCTCAAAACCTACTTTAAAGATTGCCCACTCTCTCCAAGAGCGAGTGAACACCACCGCCTCTTGTAGCTCATATCTGTCTATGGATTTTCTTTGATTTTGGTTTTTTTTTTCCATTTTCTCAAAAAAAGGGAGAAGGAAGAGCACGTCTCGCTAAAAAAAATCTGATTCCGTTACGTTATCCAGCTGGCCAAGACGCCTCCGTTACATATGTCCAAGTCGTTACAACGGCGTTACGTCAAGGTTAGAGAGCCTCTCTTTGATCCAGTGACATCCAAGCGTATTTATTGGCGGGAAGAGACTTTTGATCATGGATTTTTATTCTTCTTGAAGACAAGCATTCGAAGGATGATTGATATGCTAAAACTAAAACTATTATTTTGTTTTTGTTATTAATTATCTAGCATAAAAGTTGGTATTCTAATTTAATTTAAATTTAAAATTAATTTAATAAATATTTTTATTTTCTTATTTATTATTTTACTTTTAGCCAAAGTTCTTATTTGATATTAAGAATTTATCAAATAGTTTATTCTCATGGCAGATGAAAATTGAAACTTTCGTTAAGAAAACAAAATTTATTAAATTTAAGAAAAAAAATATTAGATATGAAACTAAAGTATTAGAAAAATATTAGATATGAAACTAAAAAATATTAGAAAAAAAAATCTTTTGTTAAGAAAAAAAAATTGAAACTAAAGTAAATTTTAACTATTTGAATATATTTTATAAATAAATTTGCTCTTATATTTTTCATTAGTTAATAATATTATGTTCATATATAAACCCGAACATTCTGAATTAACCAAACTAATTTTATTAAACCGAAATTCTCGATACCAATTAAACCGTAGCTATACCGCAAATCATTCATCTTCTTCATCTCTCTCTTTCGATTCTTCAAAACCCTGCCAACAAAAACAAACAAACCGCTTGAGAGGGTTCTCCATATCTAACCTTACCTTTGTTATCATTCATCTCTGTTTCGGACACTGGCCATGAGACAGTTCACTTTCCACTGTCTTCTACGCCGCAACCAAATCTCAATTCTTTCCGGATATTCTCGTACCGCGGCACGTCTTTCATCCACCACCAATCCCCCCGAGTTCTCGGAATCTCAGATAAGTCCCGATACTTTACTCGACTCAATACGATCTTCTCAGTGGCATTTCGTCGAACACTTTGCGTGCAAGCTCACACCTTCCCTTATATCAACAACTCTTCTCAACCTCGTCAAGACTCCAGCTTTAGCTCTCGATTTCGTCAACCGCATCGACCCACGTTCCTTGGAACTCCCAACACAGTGCCTAGCAATAGCTCTCGTCTCTAAGCTCTCTTCGCACAAGCCAGCTCTTCAGTTACTAAACCAAGTCGTTACTAGTAACAAAACTAAGATAAGAGACGTTTTCAATGAGCTAGTTCTCGCCCGTGATCGAGTACAGACCAAAAGCACCATCCTTTTGGATCTTCTGGTCAGATCTTGCTGTCAGTTAAAGATGGTGGATGAAGCAATAGAGTGTTTTTACTTGATGAAGGAGATTGGTTTTGATCCAAAGATTGAAACTTGTAATGCAATTCTGAGTTTGTTATCGAGGCTGAATCTAACGGAGAAAGCTTGGGTCTTGTACGCTGATATGTATAGGATGGAGACTATTAAGTCTAATATCTACACTTACAACATTATGATTAACGTGTTATGCAAGGAAGGGAAGTTGAAGAAGGCCAAGGAGATGTTGGGGATGATGGAGTGTTTTGGTGTTAAGCCTAACATTGTCACTTACAACACACTTGTTCAAGGGTATTCGTCGAGAGGACGGGTAGAAGGAGCTCGTATGGTTATCAGAGAAATGAAATCTAAGGGGTTTAAACCTGATTTGCAGACGTATAATCCGATTCTGTCTTGGATGTGTTGTGAAGGAGGAGGGAGAGAATCTGATGTATTGAGGGAGATGAAGGAGGTTGGTTTGGTTCCTGACTCTGTTTCTTACAATATATTGATCCGTGGTTGTAGTAACAGAGGAGATTTGGAGACAGCTTTTGCTTATAGGGATGAGATGATGAAAAAAGGCTTTGAGGCGACGTTTTATACTTACAACACGTTGATTCATGGTTTGTTTATGGAGAACAAGGTTGAAGCAGCTGAGATGTTGGTAAAAGAGATTAGAGAGAAAGGTGTTGTTGCCTTGGATGCTGTCACATACAACATACTCATAAATGGATATTGTCAGCATGGAGATGCAAAGAAAGCTTTTGCTCTGCACGACGAAATGATTACTGATGGAATTGAGCCGACGCAGTTTACTTATACATCGCTTATTTATGTCTTGTGTAGAAGAAGAAGAATGAGGGAAGCAGATGAGTTGTTTGAGAATGTTGTAGTAGGCAAGAGGATGAAGCCTGATCGTGTAATGTATAACGCGTTGATGGATGGGCATTGTTCTACAGGTAATATGGACCGTGCGTTTTCGCTTCTAAAGGAGATGGATAAAATGAGAATCGATCCTGATGATGTGACATACAATTGCTTGATGAGGGGACTTTGTGGAGAAGGTAAATTTGAGGAAGCTAGGGAGATTATGGGGGAGATGAAGAGACGAGGAATCAAACCTGACCATATTAGTTACAACACGCTAATAAGTGGGTACAGTAAGAAAGGTGATACAAAGCAAGCTTTTATGGTTCGAGATGAGATGTTGAGTCTAGGGTTTAATCCAACTCTTCTCACGTACAATGCTTTGTTAAAGGGTTTGAGTAAAAACCAGGACGGGAGACTTGCAGAAGAATTACTACTGGAAATGAAAAGTGAAGGGATTACTCCTAATGACAGTAGCTACTGCTCTGTACTTGAGGCAATGTATAATGCAGAAAAGTCAGATATTGATCGTGGAAGCAAACCTGAGACCACTTGCATAGTGTAAACGTTGATATAGGCATTTGCTGGTTGGTTAAGGTTAGTACGGTGTATATGTACTAGCCGTGCTTTAACAAATGTTTCCATAAAAATGTTATAGATCATCTTCCCCCGCGTCAAAAGACTGGTTATGTCCAATTTGGAATTTATTTTCAAAGGGTATACACCATTTCTGTTTGTTTTTTTTTTAAGAACTTATAGCCATTTTCTTTCGAGAAGTGGGTTTAATTGAAATCCCACTCATTAAGATATGCAATTGTTTCAGCTTACCCGACTTAGTAAGGTAATAGAAGTGTGGAAGGAATAGATCATTACACAACAACAAAAAGACATGATTCACCAATTTAAAGACAAAAAACACAAGGCTTATAAATAGCGTTTGTGTACGAGGCTTTCCTACACAAGCCTTTATTATACAAATGAAAAACAAAAGAATAATCCCAAATTCACAATTCTCTGAGTTTTCTTTTTTCACGCAATCTTGTTTTTTTTTTTTTTTTTGGGGACATGATATACGTTCCAAATAAGATGAGAAGGCAGAAACATAGAGGAGGTTGTTTAAGAACGCTTAGTTTGTGGAGTCGCGGCTGTAGAATTGATCAAGTGTTTTGGCTGGGATACGGTGAAGAAGCTCACGAGGGAAGATACGGAGAAGTGTCCATGCCAAGTCAAGTGACTGGAAGATGTTTCTTGTATCGTATGCTCCTTGCATCACAAACTTCCTCTCAAATTTGTCCAGAAACTCTAAATACAGCTGCATAACCACACCACAAGAAGCTGAGTTATTATCGTTGTTGTCAGTATTTGATATGAACATGAAAGTGATCTGAGTAAAAAGAGGTACCAGATCCTCAGAAGAAAGAGCTTCTTCTCCAACTACAGCTTTCATGGCTTGAACATCCTTCCCGATTGCATAGTTTGCGTATAGCTGAAAATTAGGTTTGATGATATTAAATGTCTATCTGAGTCTCTCTGAGATGCTTTAGTTAAGTAAATCCTGTGCGTAGCGTACCTGGTTGGACACATCAGAATGGTCACGGCGAGTCATTCCTTCACCAATGGCACTCTGCAGAATTTAATGATGCTCAAGTTATATAAATCATAGTATGTTTAGATCCATAAGGGCATATAATCGAATGGCTTGGCTACCTTCATTAACCGAGATAGTGATGGAAGCACGTTGATGGGTGGATATATCTGTTTTAAAAAAGAGCCATAAAAAAAAAAACAGAGATCCATTGTAGATGGATTAGAAATTGTTTTTTTTTATTACAGATGCAAAATGAGTAAAGTGTGTCGCACCTGTCTGTTGTGAAGTTGCCTGTCAATATATATCTGACCCTCAGTAATGTAACCAGTAAGATCCGGAGTAGGGTGAGTGATGTCTGAGTATTACAACAAAAAGTTATATGAGCTTTGTTCAATCAGAGAAAAGAGAATCCAAGAATGATATGAAATTTGTACCGTCATTGGGCATAGTCAGGATAGGGATTTGGGTAATGGAACCCTTTCTTCCTTCAATACGCCCTGCACGCTCATAAATAGTTGCAAGATCTGTATACATATAACCCGGATATCCACGTCTTCCAGGTACTTCTTCTCGAGCAGCAGAGACCTACAGCTCATCAAAATATGTCGACTTCAGAAAACATGTTCGTGCTGTTGTCAAAAATAAAAATATAACATATTCATGCTGGTTGGGGTTTATGAAAACCTAAATCGAGCTATGAATCATGAGAAAAAAAAAACACAGAAAATGAAAGAAATTTTACCTCACGAAGAGCATCTGCATAAGAACTCATATCTGTCAATATAACAAGCACATGCTTCCCACATTCATAAGCTAAATACTCTGCGGTTGTGAGGGCAATTCGAGGAGTGATAATTCTCTCGATGGTCGGGTCATTTGCCTGTTGGAGTGGAATGCATACTAAATGTCAATACGTCATTGATATAATGTTAATACTATCAACGAAGTCAAGAAGTATATAATAACAGGACATAAGTTACCACTTACCAGGTTCAGGAAAAGAGTAACTCTTTCCATTGATCCATTTTCTTCAAAATCACGCTTGAAGAACTGAGCTGTCTCCATGTTTACACCCATAGCTGCAAAAACAATTGCAAAGTTGTCCTCTCCATGATCCTGGAAAAACACAAGGGAAGAGATTGAAGGATTTAACAAGGCAACCAAATAATCAGACTGAAATTACGAAGTAAAATACTCAATCGTCAAAGAAGTTGAGTATGCTTAAAATGTCAATGGTATTATAAAATATAGTCCTTTACATGTCAGGGATTCGTTGAAATGCTTTAGTCCTTCTACATTAGTTAGAAACTGAATGCGCACTGGTACACTCACTCTTCAGCATGATCCGATAAAAGAGTACATCAGTGGTGGAAAATGGGGCAAATGATTACCTCAATTAGGTTCTCAGTCTTTTCCAACCGCTTAACAAGACCAGCCTGACGACAAATTTGAGCAGCGATTTCGTTATGAGGTAGACCAGCAGCAGAAAAAAGAGGAATTTTCTGCCCACGAGCGATAGAGTTCATAACATCAATGGTAGAAATCCCTGTTTGTATCATCTCTTCAGGGTAGGTTCGTTCACTGGGGTTGATTGAACTTCCTATATACATTATTCACCAACGCAATTAAAACAACAACAACAACAATATTTTTTGGCTTGAGAGACCACAAAATGGCAGCAATCTACACTCACCAGAAATATCAAGGTATGCCTCTGGCAAAATAGGAGGACCATTATCAATTGGCTTTCCTGAGCCGTTAAATATGCGTCCAAGCATGTCTTGTGATACAGGTGTTTTCAAAACCTGAAACACATACCATTGAACTCAAAAGTTTTCAGAAAGCTGCCAACACTTAACCAATCAACTTAATATATACCTCTCCTGTGAATTGAACGGTGGTAAATTTGTTGTCAATTCCAGATGTTCCTTCAAAAACCTGAAACCAATACGTTATTGAGAACAGAGAACCTGTACAGCCTGCATAATAGCTAGAGTAAGACCAAAAAATCATGAACCTGGACAACAGCTTTCTCTCCATCAACTTCCAAGACCTGACCACGTCTCATTGATCCATCACCTAAACGGATATTAACAATCTCCTGGTACTTTGGCCCCTGGTTTATTCACAAACAGTTCAGAAAATCTTTGAGAGTCGGTAAGTTTTATTTGATGGCAAAGCTTTTTGTTAAAAATGTATATACCTTCACTTTCTCAAGGATGACTAGAGGTCCAGCAACACCAGAGACAGTTCTGTACTCTACACAAATTGAAAAAAAATTCTCAAATCAGCCTCTTACAAAGTTAATACGCTACAGAAAAGGATTTGATTATACACAAATCAATAGAAACAATCACATGAAATCTACAAAGAAAAAGGACTAAAAACGCAACACCAATATGAGATCCGTGATCGGATGACTCTTACCCATTCCGATCTCGAGAGCTCCTTCATCCATGTCGATACCAGCCGCTCCCATTTTTACAGATCAAACCGCTCCACAAATCCTGGAAAGAGAGAGAAAAAACAGTTACTATCGCGATGTCGAAATGAAACTAAATAAATTGAATGAGATCCAATCGTGTACAGCTCGATCCCGTGAAAGCGAAGAAGATGAGAGGAGGATCGAAGAAAGATCTGATGAATAGAAAATCACGTACCTGGAACGTTTAGAGAGACGCGAGGAGTTGTGTGATTGATCTAATGATTCTGTGGCTCTATGTGAAAACGTGGTTGGAGTATATCCGACTCTGACATCTAATTATTTCTGTATTATTATTTTCCGACCGAAAAGTTTTTTGAGAGATATTTCTGTAAAAAAAATTGGGGGGAAAAAAGGAATCGCCCACCGTGGGGCTCGAACCCACGACCACAAGGTTAAGAGCCTTGCGCTCTACCAACTGAGCTAGACGGGCTTGTTGTGCTACATTTATATGTTTATATATTTATACTGAGATAGCTCTCGGGATTGCTATGAACCGGTTCAAACTCAAAAAATCACAAACCGGAAATCAATTAGGGCAGTTCAGTGGTGCATGAGTGTGTGTGGAAGGGCTGTTATAAAAGAGAGAGAAGCGCCTTCTACAAAACCGTTCTAACGGCGTAGAAACCGTATCGATACACTTCTCTCTCTCGTCTAATAACTACACCATCCTTTCTTATCCGAATCTCCCTAGGGTTTCTGAGGATCTAACCCCGAAGAGTCACACAAGGTAAGCATTCAAGCACGATTTTTGAGGATTCGAAGAAAATATCCGAGTTTCATCGCCAGTTTGAGAAGGACTTTTGTGTTGAATTTGGGGGTGTTATTGTACAGATGGACAGGTACGGGCGAGTGGTTGATGTTAGGAGTTTTCAAGGCTCCTAGTCAAATGTTATATAGTGAAGTAAGTTGTCGAACCAGTTCTGAGGGAAGTAAAAGCGATGAGAATGCAAGTACTAACTTAATCTAAGTGCAATCGAATGTTTGGTTGGTTTTAAAGTGAACTAAAACTAAAATGTAAATAAACTATATGACTTTAACTATGAAGGTAAATGAGAACTCATGGGCATTGGGAATGTGACCTTGGGTGATCATGTTTCGAATCAAGATGGAAAGCAATCAATTAATCTGTCTACCTTAAGCCTAGACACTTTTCTAAACAAACTCTATGTCTAGATGAATGTTCATTTGCTGGCACATCTCAAGCATCAAATGTCTTTGGTTGAA